GTCCCCTCTGGCGTGGAGTTACAAATAGTCACCACATACGTTTCCCAACTTTCTGGTAAAGAACTGAGAAATAATAATCCCTGCATCTCATCATCTATATTCATTTTCATAGCAACCAACTTGTTTGCAAAACTCTGAAATAGGCTTATGTGTTCAACAATGTTACTACCATCTTTATACTTCAAATTTACAAGCCTTCTGAGGAGAGAAATTCTATTTCCCACTGTCTTTTTCGCAAAGAGGTTTTCTAACATTTGCCAAACAACATCAGCTCTGGTTTCATTTGAAATATGCTCATGCAAGTTTATATCCATCCATCTTCTAATATAGGCAATAGCTTTTCTATGTTGAACTTCCCATTCTTCATCGTCCATAGTAGAAGGTTTATTTTTAACCTTGATAGGCTTATACAAATCTTTGCAATAGAGCAAATCTTCAATCAGATGCCTCCAAGTGGAATAATTTGATGAGTTCAATTTAAACATACCATCTGAATGCTCCATTTCAATCACACAATAAAACTAGCACCAAACAACCTGACGCTCTGATACCACTTGTTGGGAAGAAACCTGTTAAAGCGGAATATTTTTTTCCCTCTTTGTGTATCAAAATGGGTTCCTCATCAAAATACTAACTTGGTATTCAAATGAAAATATTAACCAGCACAGCATAAATAGCAGAGCAAAAATCAATCACACGGTGAGACCAAATCTTTTAACGTGGAAAACCCAATGTGAGAAAAACCACGGGACCGTAGTCCACCTCAAACTTCCACTATCAATAATACTGATAACAGGTCTACAGTAGGTCTTCTTTAGAATAACTAGAGGATCAAAATAACATCAAGAACATAGATCTTGGCTCAAGAATAACATATCTTCATCACATAGGTGGATCTCTAGAGAGGGTAAACTGTAGATCAACACCGTTAGGATTATAGAGTTTGCTACAAGGATTCTCCACATAAAATTTGGGCCAAAACTGACAACGTTTGGCCACCGATCGTCAAGTAGAAAACTCAGAAAACCTTACTTTCTCTCTCTATTTGTCTGCAAGCCACAGTACGCTGCACGCTGCAATCTCTCTCCTCTTTTTAATTTCTTTTATTTACTGATTTGAGCTCAATAGGCCCAATTGTCCAAACTCACATATGGGCGGGACCCAACAAGAAATTATGTTAGACTTTAAATATAATGATTAGAAATTATGTTAGACTTTAAATATAATGATTTTTTTTGTTGTAAATAACTTAATTTTAAGATTTATGATAATCTGATCAAAATATTTATCATCATATCAAATTATGTCCAAAACCTATAAATAGCCCTCTTCATCTCATATGATATTTAATTAATATTTATATAATATTTTTTCTCTATTCAACTTGCACCATACATTTAGCTTTGGGTTCCACGCCAAAAATGGCCAGTTTTGGCCCGTTTTTGGGCCGTTTTGGCCTGTTTTTGGGCTGTTCTTGCGTGCCGCAGTGACTGTCGTGAGCGGAGCAAAACGTCAGCCATCTCAGCACCCTGGAACCCCCCGGGTGGCACAGGGCTGGATGGTGCTTTCGTATAGCAGGGACGGTGCTGCCTCTCGCTTCGCTCGCTGCTCGCTCGCGCAGCCAAAAATGGCCACAAATCTAATCTAGTTTTTAGGATTAATGGACATCCAATTCAATATCTTTGTCACAAAATATGAATAACCTAAATTATAACCAGTGAGATGCGCCCATGGCCGACTTATATTCCACATGCCAATTAATTGCACATTGTGGAAGGTGTCTTCTTCCCAATCACCAGATTCGCCATCATTTGCTTCATTATAATGTGTCGTTAATGTGGTTTTTACTGAGACATTCGATTGATTAGTGTGTTAGGGTATGAATGATAGCGGTTCACATGTGAGTGTGATATACGTTATTTAGTGTAATAATTCTTTTATTATTTTAAATATTTGCTTAATGTCGTACAGATCCAAACTGTATCAAACTCGTGAATGTCCAAATCTGATTTAAATTGGTTGACTCAAGAATCATAATAGACAATACGATAATTTGATTGGATCTAAGTCTTCCAACGTGTGCTCTACTCCCACCGCGTTCCAAATTGGACTTAGAATTATTATTAGAATAATAAAACATTGATGATGTCTCTGTATTTAGTTTTTACTAAGGATATTACTATTTACAACCCTTATTTTACTATTTATAATCTCATTTTAATAATTTTTAATATATCTAAATTGATTATCTGTTTGTAAATGTACCAAAATATCATCCTCTTATTCCTCGTCCTTTTCTTTTCAATCTTCCTCCTCATCATCATCTTCTTCTTCTCGCAGGCAACAGAGTTGGTGATAGTGATGTCAGTAGAAGATCCACGATAGATAAGCAGTTTGGGGCCAACGATCAACGATAACGATTCCCTTCTTTTTTATAGCTAGTAGAGCAGACGACGACGTTAGCAAAAGATTAGTGACAAGTGAGCATGCTATGGCTGGTGATCCATGATGATGGCTTCCTCCTCTTCTTCAGCTAGCAGAGTCAACGATAGCGTCAATGGAAGATTGACGATAAGCAGGCAAGCTAGGGTCGTTGATCGACGATAATGAATTCTTCCTCTTCCGCAGCCAACAAAACTTATGATGATAACGTCAATGGAAGATCAACGGCATGTCGTAAGCTGAGGCTAGTAATCAATAGCAACGAGTAGTGGATAGTCATAGCAACAACGGTGGGGGTTAGTAGGATACACGGAGTGGGAGGAGGAGGAAGCTCTTTGGTTTCTTTATGATAAATTATATTAACTTTTTATTTATGATAAATTTAAAAATAAATTTATGTAAAAATAAATATATTTTTAATAGATGTCATGAGTATAATTTGAATATAACTTGAGTGTGGGTTGAATATAAGAGATTCGATCCTATCCGAAAGGATTTGATCCGATTCTATACTAAGACACCGATTGAGTCGAATCGGCCCACGGGTTGATTGGGTTTAAAATAATTTAATTTCAAGATATTATTAAGATTTTTTTAAAAAAATATTTCTCGATAAAAATAAAATATAGAGGTCGCATTCCAAAAAAACCCATTAAAGACCTTTTTTTTCGATAAATTGCCCGATCCGATTTTTGTGGGTCAAATGCTTCAAGACATCGTCATGTTACGATAAGTGGAGAGGACTGCAACCGATGTTTGACTTCGAGTCCTTTTCTAATGGCCACATCTATTTGACTTGTCTCCCATCAGACAAACTCGTCCACATGATCACTTCTCAGCCACCAAAGCAAGGCGACGCGCTGATATATGACTGGGAGCCCGAGGGTAGGACCCGTGGGTCCCACAGATGCTCGCCAATTGGAATCTGCAATAACTCTCCTGATCGCGACGAAGACGGTCGATTGCGGTCAATTCATGCAGCGGTGGCACCCGATACTGAGCCAGCTACTGTCGGGGCCCGCCGAGAGAAGTATATATATATATATATATATATATATATATATATATATATATATATATATATATATATATATATATATATATATATATATATCCATCCATGGGCGATTTTTCCTCAAAATATTTTTTATTTTTTTACAAAAGACATCTCCTATTTTGATTTTTTTTTTCAAATGGTGGTATCTAATTCGCATAATACCCAAAATATCCTTTACTAACCTCAATAATACTTTTTTAATCAATTTTTCATAAGTTTGTGATCGTTATAGTATTTTTATTTTACTCATTTATAGTTTTTTAATAATATTATAATATTTTATTAAATATTTAATACTATAAAATTATTTAAAAAATATTATAAGAGATAACATGTTATGTTTTTTTTTTGTTGTGATTGCTTGTAAACCATTATAATAGAGGTGTTCAAATTGAATCGTAAAATCAAACTATGGTTTTGATTAGGGGTAGTCTTTTTTTTGTTTGGTTAACAATCGAATTGAACTGATTTTAATTTAAAAAATATCAATTTGACTGAATTTATTATCCTAAGTCATTAACCAATTCAAACTGATTATTTTAACTAGTCTAAAGACTCAATTTTACAAAGGATATGGGCACAATTTCATAAATCTTATCGTATCGACCCAATTGTACTAAGATTATGATTCAGTCCAATTGAATTGAACCGGTTTTATTTAATATATATTTAAATTACTTAAAATTATAATTTGATTAATCAGTTAATTGAACCGTATTAACTAGTTTTGAATCGATTTGGTTAGGTAGGTTTAAATTGATTCTTTTTTAACCTATCTTATTGATTGAATAAAAAAAAATCAAAGTTCGATTTGAACACCCATATATTATAATATTATATTATTTATTTTTCTAATTGGTTTAGTTGAAGTTATGAGTTTGTTTAGGTCATTTATAATGTTTTCAAGTAGGTTTTATAATATTTTTATTATAATGACCAAAACACTATAATAGCATAACTTTTTATCCCTATGTGAGTGATGTTGTTCTTAAACTATTATATATTATAGATATCTGTCCTAGTATAATATATTAAATAGTTTATAATCTGTTTTGATTTATTTGACTCACTTATAATATTTTCCAATAACATTCTATTGTTTTGATTAAAATATTAAAAACATTATATAAGTGATATATTTGGTTATCATAGACCATTACAAAATCAAATTTTTAGGTTTTGAGTTGGTTGGATTGAATTTAAGTTCATTTATTAATGATTTCAAGTAAGCTTTATAATTTTTTCTTTACGATGGCTATAAATGATGAAAAAAAAAACCAATGGGATTAGTGAGAGGTATTTTAGATATTATCGAAACAGGAGAACTATTTGAAAAAAAGGAAAACATGGGACACTTTTTGGGGAAAAAAATAAAAAATGGAGTTTTTTTTATAAATGGAAATCTCTCTATTTCCATATAAATATCTAAATCTTATATATACATATATATATATGTTATAAACCTCATTTTATAATGGTAAATATGGAAGAAATGTGCCAAACGAAACGAACAACCAAAAAAAGAGGAGCGTCGACGTTTTTAAGGGAGGAGACCAAACGATTAATATATGCAAACTTCTCCTTATGCTCATTTGCGTCGATCACAACTAAACTTGGGTCAAACGGCAAGCCGAAATCTGAGGACATGGGAAGCGCTTCCATTCTCTCATCGGTGGCACGAAGGTGTTTGTTTGTGATGGGATCTTTTCATTGGAATTAGCAGCATAATACATCTGCTTCTTGTTATTGTTCCTCAGGCTTGAAGGCAAAGTGGCGTTGATCACCGGCGGGGCCAGCGGCATCGGCGAGTGCACGGCCAAGCTGTTCGCACGGCACGGCGCCCGAGTCATCGTCGCGGACATCCAGGACGACAAGGGCCGCGCCCTCTGTGCCGCCCTCGGCCCCGCCTCCTACGTCCACTGCGACGTCACAGACGAGGCCGACGTGGAGCGCGCGGTCGACACCGCCGTCGCCCTCCACGGGAAGCTGGACGTCATGTTCAACAACGCGGGCGTCATGGACCCGCCCGTCAACGGCTTCCTCGCCAGCGACAGGGCGGCATTCGAGCGGGTGATGGCCACCAACGCGCTGGGGGCGTTCCTGGGGACGAAGCACGCGGCGCGGGTCATGGTGCCGGCGCGCGCCGGCAGCATCGTGTCGACGGCGAGCCTGGTGTCAGCGGTGGGCGGGGTGGCGTCGGCGGCGTACACGTGCTCGAAGCACGCGGTGGTGGGGCTGATGCGGAGCGCCGCGGCGGAGCTGGGGCGGTTCGGGGTGCGGGCCAATTGCGTGTCGCCGTACGGGGTGGCGACGCCGCTGGCGATGGCGGGGATGCAGTTGACCACGGAGGAGATGGAGGCGGCGATGGAGGCGATGGGCAACCTCAAGGGGGTGAGGCTGAAGGCGGCGGACGTGGCGGAGGCGGTGCTCTACCTGGCCAGCGACGAGTCCAGGTACGTGAGCGGCCTCAACCTGACGGTGGACGGAGGCCTCAGCGTCACCAAATCCCTGCAGTAGCACTCATCCACCGCATAACGATGGGACCTTTTCTATCGCAGTAACCATACTATTGCCTATCACACAATGATTTCAGCATATCATGAAAAGTATTTTTGATTAGATCTATTGCAGTAATAACCCACATCGCATCTGTGTTTCTTATCAGACAGTGATTTGAGCATATCATAATGCATCAAAAATAAAATATTTTGATTAGGTGATAATAATTCCAAGGATGTCGTATGAGTATCGACTAAACATATCAGACATTTTACCTACGGGTTGCAAAGCACAAGAACACCCCATGTTCCATGTTCCATCTGTGGCCGCTGCAGCAGCACGCTGCTTCAAGCGGAGTCTTGGCTATGCTCATCCACTCCTCTTCTTCGCCGGCCTATTGCTCGCTCTCCTCCTCTCCATCGGCGAACAGCAAACGCAACGGCGGTGTCTTCCTTGCTTAACGGCTACTGCTACGTCTTCCTCATTTGCCATCGCAGCCTCTAAAATCCCAAGGACACTGCGACATCTTCCCGCTTCCCGCCCTGCAGCAGTCGTCGCTTCCTGAAGAAATGATTGCCTCATGGAGTTGAGGAAATCTCATTTGCTATGCAGTTGAGGAAATCTCTCTATTATCATGCCCCCGCAAGATCGAGCTTCTGTCAAGTATACCGATCTTGGACCAATGCAACAAAAATAGTTTGCGGGCTAGAGGCTTCGTGAGTGAGTCTGCTAGTTGATTAGTCGTATGGACATGAGAGACACGAAGTTGATATCTGACAACTTGATCTCGCACGAAGTGAAAGTCGATGGCAATGTGTTTCACGCGTGAGTGGAACACTGGATTGACACATAAGTAGGTAGCTTCAACATTGTCACAATATATTGTAGGAGTATGGGTAGAGCTGACTTTGAGTTCATTGAGGAGATTTATGACCCAATTGAGTTCAGCAGCAGCGGTAGTAATAGCACGATATTCAGCTTCAGTTGTAGACCGGGCCATTGTCTTTTACTTTTTAGAACCCCAACTGATTGGATTAGACCCAACAAAGATGACATACCCTGACGCGGAGATTCTATCATCAAAGTTTCCCGCCCAATCAGCATCAGCAATGGTATGGAGATGAAATTGAGTGGTTTTGCAGAGAAAGAGATCATGATTAAGGGTTCCTTTAAGATACCGTAAAATTTGTTTAACCGCAGACCAATGCATAGCAGAAGGCTGGTGCATGTATTGAGATAATTTATTGACTGCAAATGAGATATCTGGACGGGTGAGAGCCAAGTACTGTAAGGAGCCAAGTACTTATCGGTATTGAGTTGAGTCCGTGGTAGGGCTGCCATCACATAATTTGAGTGATTCACTAGTAGAGAGAGGAGTATCAACTTCTTTCGCATCCTGCATATTTGTCTTTGATAATAAGTCTTGAATATACCTCTCTGTGAGAGGAGGAGACCTGAGGATGTAAATATTGCTTCCATTCCCAGAAAGTAGCTCAAGGGTCCTAAATCTTTTAGGGAGAATCGAGCAGCCAATTGCTTTAAAAATATCTGAATCTCCAAGGGATCATTACTTGTAACAATAATATCATCTACATATACTAGAAGATAGATATATTGTATTTCCATGTTGCTGTCGTAGGAATAAAGAGGTATTAGACTTGGAGTTGATGAAGCCAATTGATATCACAAACGATCCAAGTTCAGTATACCAAGCTCTTGGAGCTTGACGGAGTCCATAAATAACTTTTTGTAATTTGCAGATATGTCTCGGATACTGGTGATGAACAAAGCCAAGGGGTTGTTGCATAAAGACATCTTCAGTTAGAGTCCCCTGTAAAAAGGCATTGTTAACATTCAATTGTCGTAAGTGCCAGTCTCTAGAGATAGCCAAACTTAGAATAAGCCGAATTATTATGGGTTTAACTACAGGACAAAAAGTCTCTGTGAAGTTAACTCCAAGTCGTTGATGAAACCATTTGGCTACTAATTGTGCTTTATATCGAGCAACAGACCCGTCGAGGTTCCGCTTAATTCGGAAGACCCATTTACACCCGATGATGTTTTGTGTAGGATGAAAAGGTACAAGAGTCTATGTGGAGTTATAGAGAAGAGCATCATATTCTTCACACATGGCTTTACGCCAGTGAGGAGATTTTTGGGTTTGAGTAATTGTGGTGGGTTCACTGGTCTCGGAAGAGGATTTGGTGATAGCATGCAGGTCGAGAACCTGACATGGTTTAAAGATACCTCTTTTTGAGCATGTTGTCATTGGATGTCTAGGAACTAGAAGTTGTGTTATTGGTATGGGTGGTGGAGAGGCATCGACAGGGGTCGGGATAGGTTAAGATACATCAGTGGTACTAAGTAAAGAATGTTGTTGTGATTCTAAGGATATAACGTCAGTAGTAGGGGAGGCTTGTGAAGAAGGAAGATGAGAAGGAATGAAGGGAGTGGGAAGCTGTTGAACCGGGAGAACAAAGGAGTGTGGATCTTTAAGAAAAGGACTGGATGGTGTGGGAAGAGTTTTGTTTGAGGGGATCGATGGTATACTCTAGTTATGTATATTTGTTAGAGTAGCCGGCATGATAGGAGACTCGTGGTTTTGAAATGGAAAGGCAGACTCCACAAAAATAACATGACGTGAAATAAAGACTTTTTGAGTTTTTGGTTTGTAGCATCGAAAGACATTATGTTCAAGAGAATATTCTATGAAGATGCAAGGTTTAGATCTTGGCGCTATCTTATGTGGGGCATAGGGACATAGCCACAGATAATATAAACAACTAAATATTTTGAGTTTTTGAAGGTTTGGGGATTTAGAAAATAGTTTTTCAAATGGAGACTATTATTGGAGAACTGGAGTGGGCAGACAATTAATAAGATAGACAGCAGTTTGAAAGGCTACGTACCAAAAGGTTGTTGGCATAGAGGCTTGATGTAGAAGCATGAGACTAGTTTCTACAATATGCCGATGTTTGCGTTCAGTAGAGCCAACTAGTTGAGGAGTGTGTGAGGGTGACTTAAGGTGTTGGATACCACAGGTTGAAAGGTAGGATGTGAGAGCTTGATATTCACCCCCACCATCAGAGTAGACTGTTTTAATTGTAGACTGAAAGAAGTTTTCGACCAGCTTTTTAAATTTGGTAAAAACTATTGAAACTTCTGACTTATGACAGAGAGGATAAATCCATGTGTACTTAGTAAAATAGTCTACAAAAATGACATAAAATCTAAATTTGTCAAAGGAAGTGACGGGAGCAGGACCCCAAATATCAGTATAAATAATTTCAAATAGTGTAGAACATAATATGGAGGAAGAACCAAAAGGGAGTCTATGACTTTTATTATTGAGACAAGCATCACAATAAAAGCTATTATTTGTAGGAGTAGAAAGAGAACAACGAGAAAGTAATTTATTTTAGATAGAGAGGGAGGGTTGACCGAGACGACGTTGCCACACATCGATTGGAGTTGCCACTGAGGAGTAAACAGTGGGCTGTTTGAGTTGTGGAACAGACGACCATTCATAAACATTGTCCTTACTCTGACCTTGGACAAAGGATGCCCCCGTGTTCAAATCCTTGACAAGAAAAGAGTTAGGAAAGAATTCAATAGAGGTATTATTTTGTTTGCAAAATTGAGAAACAGAAATAAGATTGTGTTTAATGTGAGGTGCACACAAAACATCATCGAGTGCAGAAGTTGTGATAGGTGAATTAAGCATTGTGGAACTAGTATGAGTAATAAGAAATCCTTTACCATCACCGATGATGATGTCGTAATGTCCATTGTAGTTGTTGTGGATCGACAAGTTCTGTAGATCAGAGGTAATGTGGTGGTATGCGCCAGAGTCCACGATCCAATTATGATCAGTAGTGTTTGGAGTAGTCGTGAGATTTGCCTAAAGCCAATGTGATTGTGCAGGAAGTCGGGGTCGAGATCGACAGACCTTTGCAGAGTGACCAACTTTATCACATAATTGGCAGACAACTCTTCATTGATTTGTGTGTTGAGGGCGCCATGACTGCATAGCAAATGAGATTTCCTCTGATAACAGAGAGATTTCCTCAACTGCATAGCAAATGAGATTTCCTCAACTGCATGACACAATCTCTCTGCTCGGTTAAAGAAATCTTATCTTTCATCATGTATAAATAGACTTCATATGATACTAATTGCAAGTGCTTTTCTTCATTATCTCATTTCTTCATGGTATCAGAGCAGAAATTGTGAGGAGCCATCGCTGCTATTGCAACACCCCTATCACACCACTGCCAAATTTCTCCTCGTTTGTGGCAGTCCCCCCTTTCCAGATCTTAGGCTGATCTGCACCCCCCCCCCAGCACTTCTCCGACGGCCACCGACACCCAGACAGCCCTGCCCTACGTCTGCTCCATCGCGGCCCGCGCAGGATTCGCTATCGACATCGCTGCTTCTGATCTGAAGCCCATTGCCGAGGAGACGACGCTTTCGATTTCTGCTGCAGAATCGATCGAAGGTCCTGTCAGCTCTGATACCATGAAGAAAAATGAGATAGTAAAGAAAAGCACTTGCAATTAGTATCATATGAAGTCTATTTATACATGGTGAAAGATAATATTTCTTTAACTGAGCAAAGAGATTGCCTCATGTAGTTGAGGAAATCTCATCTGCTATGCAGTTGAGGAAATCTCTTTGTTATCAGAGGAAATCTCTCTGTTATCTCTTCCCTCTACAGAAGCAGCAGTAGCCGCTTCCCTCTACCGTAGCCGCTGCATCTTGCTTCTTCTATCGCAGCAGCTTTCATTACTGCTTCCCTCTGCATTGAGGCCGACAGAGCTCTTCCACTATATGCCTAATCGCTGCAGATTTCTTTAGAATCGATGCAGCATCGTTGCAGCTTCCTCATCCGCAGCAGCTTCCGCTGCAACCACAGTCATAGCCGTAGCCGCAGCCACAACATCGCTACAGCTTCCTCCTGTGCTTCCTCATCTGCAGCAGTCTTCAACAGCTGCAGCAACTTTTGCAGTTGTAGCAACCACAACAACTGTAGTTGCAGCAATCTGTAGTAGCTGTAGCAGCAGCAGTGATCTGCAGCAGCTTCAGCTGCCATAGAGATCTGCAGCAGTTGTAGTAGCAGC